TTCCCCAAAGCCCCAGTAGATAGTTGTATGTCATAGTTGCACATCCTTCTAGTTGCTGTATGTGGGACGCGGCCTCAGCATGGCCAGAGAAGCGGTGCATCGGTGCACACCTGGGATCGGAACCCGGGCCGCCAGCAGCCGCCAGTAGCGGAGCGCTCGCACTTAACTGCTAAGCCATGGAGCCGGCCCTATGATTACTATTATTGTTACTTGAGTCCAAAAGTAGCACTGGACACACACTGTAAAAAAGCTAGATTTTCACCAAATCATAGCTGACGAATACCGTAGTAAAAAAAAAAAAATCCTTTTAAACAACCGTTACAAAGTGTAAAAACTACTACTAATAATTTCTATGGCTGCAACTTGGACCGTTAGAATGTTTTCATATACCTGAAAACTTAATTAGCTCTGTGGTTATTCTGCTTGCCATAGAACAGACCTAGGAAGTCTCCTTTCTTTAAGCAGATTAATTCTAATGATACTAACTCTTGGCATCCATCTCTTCACCCAAGGCCATCTGGAGATGGAAGATACCGGTTATCAAAATCAACATCCCAATTTATAGGAAGGAGGAAAATGAGGAAAAGCTATCCAAAACATCTAATACAGGTGACTTACACGAGCTGAAGCAGGTGCATTCTTCCCTGTATTTTAAATATTAAAGAAACAATGCCCTCTATGTAAATTCAGTATTTTCTCTATAGCGTGCAAAATTCCCTAAAACTATCAGCATCTCCTGGGAGTCTGTTAGAAATGCAAATTGGTAGGCCCCAACCTCAGACCCATTAAATTGGACATTCTGGGGTTGAGGCTCAGGAAGTTGTGTTTAACAAACTCTCCAGGTGAAGTTTGAGGACCACTGCCCTATAGAAACTCAATTAGAGCCCTATAGCCTGGAAATATATATATATATAACTAAATGACAGCAGAAAAGCACGTCAGTGGTTTTTCCACTGTTCACAGATTTTCATGTTCCTGCCTTGACACTCCACCCACCCTTCAGCCCAGTTCTTACCAGCTAGATTGTTGTAGCAGTCTGTCTGGGTGGTGTGCAGTATGTTTTCTTGTTCAGGTGTGAGAGCCGGGCCCTGAGGTCCTAGATTAGGAATCGGGGAGGGCAGACTTGGATCCAAACCCCGCAGCTGAAGCAGAGCTCGATGATACCTACTCACAGCATCTCGGTACTTCCCTTCCCGGTAACGCTGGTTGCCTTCCTCCTTGTACAGCTGAGCCTCCTGCAGGCGCTTCTCCATAACTCTCGGTCGCCCAGTGCTCTTGCGGAATTGAGAAGGGAAAGAGCAACCGAAGCTCTGGGTATGGGAGCCAAGTAACTGATTTTGGTCGCCGATTTAAGAAGGCAGGAAATTATCCTTCTCCAGGAGGTCCCCCCAGGGAAAGAGCTTTGCTTGTTTCTATCACTGCCCCTTCCTCTCCTCTCTGCAGTATTTTTCAATCTCTGGAAGTGCAGGAAACTAATCAGGGAGAGGATGTGGGAATAGTAGAGCCAGAAATTAAGTGATTTCCTAAAGAGGCGATTCCGAAGGTGGCGAGACTCCCCGAAAAAGCAAAGGCCCTACCAACAAATTGTGGCAGGCGTGCGAACGCCGGCAGAACTGGCTTCCTCCTTTCTTTTGGACACACCTCCCTGACCTGGAAGCGCAAAGGAGTAGGCGGGGACAGCTGCTAAAAGGTGTCTGGAAGGCTTTTCTCCCTCCCGACTCTTGCACTTATTCAACAAGCATTTGTTGACGTCTCTGCCAGGAGCTAGGGAACTGAGGTGAACGCGGTCCGAGCACCCCAACCCACCGGCCGAGACTGACGCGACCACAGGGCAGCTCAGTTGCAAGTCCACCAAGCCCTGCGGCCAGCCCCTCGCCCTCTGCAAATGCCCAAGCCCGGAAGTCTCTCCCCGCGCTTCGGTTCACGGGCGGGACCACCGAGATGACCGGGTCCAGTCTCCCGACAGTTTGGCGTCTAAAGTGTCGCACGATCGCGCCACGCCGCCCAATCAGAAGCGGCCCCGGAAAAGTAATCCCGGCAGAAACTACCCCGCCTCTCCAGCCTCCCCTCTGGCCCAACCCGGAAGTAAAAAACAAAACCAGGCAGCTTCGCCAATTGGAAAAATCCAAACGATCACGGATGACCAATCAGAATTGCAGATGACGATTCAAGTTGGCCAATGAGAGAGCTACAAGGGGAGGTCAGGGCGTCTGTTGCTGGGTAGAAGTTGAGGGAAGGCGAGACGAAAGGAGGGCCAGGGGTTACTGTATTCGTTGGTTTTGGAGAGCCCTTATGTGTGCTAACCAGAAAGACAATTGCTAGTAGGCTTTCATGTTGCAACAGTTTCCCTTCTGGCTTTTTTTTATTCTCAAGAAGCTGCTGCACGTATAGACAGAGACTAACGAGTAAGCCCTAACACGACAGCGCAATCGGAAGGCAGACAGAAGTCAGGGTGGTGACGGGGTGGGAGGGGCGTGTGGCGAGGGAGCTCCGGGCGGCTGCGCAGAGCCCCCGGCTGGAAGTACGGACAGACAGGCGCGCACACGCCTCGGTGCTACGAGGCACTTGAGCCGAAGCCAGCCTTTGCCGGCTGCGGCTCCCGTGCGGCTGCGCGGTGACACGACCGGCGGCGATTGGCCCAGGGGGTGAGAGGGGGCGGGCGGTAAAGGGAGGGAAGTCCGCCGTCCTCGGCGCGCGCCCGCCCGCGGCAGGGGAACCGAGGGGGCAGGAAGCGAAGCAAGTCCCCGCTGCGTTGTTTTGGGCCCCCCGGGCCGAAGGGGTGAAAGGAAGGGGAGGGAGAAACAAACCTACGTAGCGGAGGCTGCGCGCGGCCCTCGCCGCCTGCGTGCGTACGTGCGTGCGCTCGCTCGCGCGGGCTCCGTGCTGGCGCGTGAGGCGGAGGCGGGCGGCGGCGGCGCCTGCGCGGTCGGGCTCGGTCGACGGTTCGCAGGGGAGGAGGCGGCGGGAGGCGGAGGAGGCGGCGGCGGCGATGGAGGTGAAGCGGCTGAAAGTGACCGAGCTGCGGTCGGAGCTGCAGCGGCGGGGCCTGGACTCGCGCGGCCTCAAGGTGGATCTGGCGCAGCGGCTGCAGGAGGCGCTGGACGCCGAGATGCTCGAGGACGAGGCCGGCGGTGGCGGGGCCGGGCCCGGCGGGGCCTGCAAGGCGGAGCCTCGGCCTGTGGCCGCGTCGGGCGGCGGCCCGGGCGGGGACGAGGAGGAGGACGAAGAGGAGGAGGAGGAGGAAGACGAGGAGGCGCTGCTTGAGGACGAGGACGAGGAGCCACCCCCTGCCCAGGCCTCGGGCCAGCCCGAGCAGCCGCCGCCGGAGCCCCCAGAGGCGGCAGCCATGGAGGCCGCGGCCGAGCCTGATGCTTCCGAGCAGCCAGCGGAGGAGGCGACGGCCGGGTCAGGTGGGGTAAACGGTGGCGAAGAGCAGGGCACCGGCAAAGGGGAGGAAGACGAGCCGGAGGAGCGGAGCGGGGAGGAGACGCCGGGATCCGAAGCGCCTGGTGACAAGGCCGCGGAGGAGCAGGGTGAGGAGCTGGCAGCGGAGCCTGCCTCCAGCCTGCCGGGTGCGCCCCTGACCCAGCACCCAGCCCTGCACCGCGGGGTCCGATCCCTTGTTCTCGCTTGCCTGAAAGTGCAAGATTCCCGTCGCCGTTTGGTGGGACTCCCCAGGGGAGGTGGTTTTCATTCTCTAGCCACGTTTCGAGGGGGTTTGGCCGCCTCCGGTGGCCCCACTCGCTGCAGGAGGGAGGTTGCTGCCTCACTTGGTTCTTTGGTGGTAGTGGATGGAAGTGAGCGGTTTTGTATGCGAACTGCTCCGTGAGCGACCTGTGGAGCAGCCTCCCGCGGTGCTGGTGATCTTTTCCTAAAGCGAGAATGCGGAGGACTTGGCGGTAATAGGGGGACAGCCAGACCGACTGCTGGAGGCTTCGGCCTTTGCGCTATCTGGCTGTTGATTTTTTCGCCATAAAAATATTAAGCAATAAACTAAGTTCGTCAAAGTTCGCTCCATCGAAAAGCACGTTGCTAGAGCTTGAGCCACGCAGGGTATCTGGAAACCTGACTTTGTTCCTGCTTTAGCAGCAGGGGACAGCCTGTGGTGTGAGGGTGTCGAGTTTAATAGTTAACTAGTGAAGAGAAAGCCTTAATCTAGTGCGTTTGGAATAAGTTAACGATTCTTGGGTAGTAGGGGTTTTACCTTGTCTGAGTTTTTATGATTAAATTTTAATCTTCCCACTGAGTCGAAGAGTGAGCATATTTGTAAATTTGCGTTGCTTAGGTAGCCTTTTACATTTCAGGTCCCTGGCTTCCTGAATTGGAATGGTTGAGGTGTTGGTGGGTTCATTGAGTAACCTGGAAGAGAATGTGTAGAGTCGCCTCAGGGAGTTAGTGACCTTTCTCTCTTCCTTTGAAGTGATTGGATGGTTAGAGCTGATCCATAACTATCTGTCAGAGTAGAGAGGAGAACTAGAGCTGCTTCCAAGACTAACTATGAAGTGGGTTGCCTTAGTTCTTATAATACATTTTTTAGGCTTCTGCGTAGTGTCATCATGTAATTGGAACCCCTTCTATGACAGTCGTATGCAACTTGCAGATTGTCTGTCTTATGTCCAGAAACAAAAATCCTATTACATAACCTTTGACTTAACGTGTATCCCAAATAGCAGATAAAAAAGGTTAAGGGATAAAAGACTGCCTTAAAGAAATTACTATTAAAAACCTTCCTAGTGTTGCAAACCACAAAGGCTTAAGGAAAAATTTGGGGTTTTTTTTTCCTCTTGTAAAGAAGGTTGCTAAATATATGACAACACCTTTCTGCCCCAATTAATGTGCATTAAAGATGCAGTATTATTTATGGGTGTCTTGTGACTTAATGGTTTACTTCTGCAACTTTCAGTAGAAATCCATGATAAAACTACAGCTCTGTATCATGCACTTGAGTCCATCTGCTATTTAAGTAAAGCTGTGGATGGCTGTGCATTTTAAAGCTGGAAAGGTAAACTATTGAAAAGAAAAACTGAGGGTTCTGTGTCATGAAGCTGTGGAACAGTGATGGAAAACACATATTAAGTGTCTAGAGCAAATCCAATCTAACAATCAAGAATCAAAATTAAATTAACCTTGAAGTTTTTTAAAGACTTAGGATATATTTTCTTATGTTATATTGGTGGGAAAATCTGCAAGTTTGACCTGATTTAAGCAGATAAATTTAGAATGCAAAAATTGTCCAATTTTTATCTACTCCTTGACTGTAATTAGTCCATAATGTTCCTTTTTTTTGAAGTAAAATCTCAACCAGTGACAGGAAGATAATTTTTGGAAATAAAATGTTCCATGGATGCAGTAGGAATAACCTGCCTATTCTGAGTAGACAGATACGCAGATGCCCTGTTAGTTTCTTTTGGTTCTGAGCTTATTCTACACTCTAGTATGAAAACTGCTGATTTTCTTTCCCTCCTTTTTGTAGGAGATGACCAAGATAGTGAAAAGTCAAAACCAGCAGGCTCAGATGGTGAGCGGCGGGGGGTAAAGAGACAGCGGGATGAGAAGGATGAACATGGCCGAGCTTACTATGAATTCCGAGAGGAGGCTTACCACAGCCGGTGAGGGAAACAGTCCCTTTCATTGAAGGGAGTGTCTGCTCTGATTTTGGTATACCTGATGTTGATTGGAGAGTCTGGAAAGATGGGTGGATTAAAAATGGAATAGGTTTTTATAGGCATAAGGTTTAGATTGAATCTACCCTGAAAGCTGTTGCCCTTTTCTCATTTGTTGAAAGCAGCTGTCTGCTGGTATTTTATATTTGCTGATAGTTTAAAACAGACATGATGTCATGCAGACACCCCTCAAAGAAGAGGGCTTTGGTTACATTGTATTTGCTTTTCTCTCACATGTATAGCTCAAAGTCTCCACCACCCCCTGAAGAAGAGGCAAAAGAAGAGGAGGAGGATCAAACTCTTGTGAACCTGGACACGTGTATGTATAAGGCAGACAGGTTGGGGTTTGTACCAATCACAAGTGATTTTGGAGATTAACACTTCGTGGTCTACAACTTTTAAGAGACTTAGCACATGGGAGATTTTGTATCCATTCTTGACAACTGGGTATATTTGTGTTCTGTTGGTGGCTTTCAAGTCTTGGGCATTGGAGTAAACAGATTGCTTCTTTCTTAACAGATACCTCGGATCTCCATTTTCAAGTGAGCAAAGACCGCTATGGAGGGCAGCCACTTTTCTCAGAGAAGTTCCCCACCCTTTGGTCTGGGGCAAGGAGTACTTACGGAGTGACAAAGGGGAAAGTCTGCTTTGAGGCCAAGGTAGTATATACAGCTCATTAAGACCATTCATTTATTAAATTATTCATTAAACTGTTATGTACTGGCAGTACTATGTATTGCCTACCAGTATTTTATTAGTGCAGAAAAGGCACCACGCTTTAACAATAACCTTAGCTCCAGTTACCAAGAAATTGGCCCCTTTGGGTCTGGTTTAAGTCCATTGACAGTTGTTATTCTGATGTTGAGTTGTGATAGTTGTAATTTTCAGTTTGTATAGAAATCTTGTCTTTCTAACTCAGACTTTGCTCCTGAGCTGGTCACAGTATTTGAGAGTTTTTTTCTGACTTGGCCAGGTAACCCAGAATCTCCCAATGAAAGAAGGCTGCACAGAGGTTTCTCTCCTTCGGGTTGGATGGTCTGTTGATTTTTCCCGTCCACAGCTTGGTAAAGTTATTTTTAACTTTATCATTAGTGTTTGCTACCATATTGCTTACTCCATGGGAAGTTTGGGTGTAGGTAACTTATTTGTTCACTATTCTAGGTGAGGATGAATTCTCTTATGGTTTCGATGGAAGAGGACTCAAAGCAGAGAATGGGCAGTTTGAGGAATTTGGCCAGACTTTTGGGGAGAATGATGTTATTGGCTGCTTTGCTGTAAGTGCTCTTGAAAGTTGTGGATTTGCAGCAAGAAGTGGATAGGGGGCACTGGGAATTCAATTTGCTTTCCATCAGCTGCTGTCTTTTATGCATTGCTTAGTTGTGTTGTGCAGCAGTCTGAGTGAAAAAGAGAAGGTTAAATTGTAAGATTTAACCTGCCTCAAAGCCTGTACGCCCATAATGCTCTTATCTTTTGTCATTATAGAATTTTGAGACTGAAGAAGTAGAACTTTCCTTTTCTAAGAATGGAGAAGACCTAGGTGTGGCATTCCGGATCAACAAAGAATCCCTGGCAGACCGGGCCCTCCTACCCCATGTCCTCTGCAAAAATTGTGTTGTAGAATTAAACTTTGGTCAGAAGGAGGAGCCCTTCTTCCCACCACCAGAAGAGTTTGTGTTCATCCATGCTGTGCCTGTTGAGGAGCGTGTGCGCACTGCCATCCCTCCCAAGACCGTAGAGGAGTGTGAGGTATGTCAAACAGTTTCCAAAAACTTAGTGCTCCTGCTTTGGAATGGTGGGTGGGTAGCTTTTCTTCTCCAAGCTTTACTGAACTGGGGCAGGGGAGGATGTTCTTGAATTGGGCTTTGTAAATATGACTCTCACTTATTTTTCATAGCATTCCTGGTTCTGTTTACTTGCAGGTGATTCTGATGGTGGGACTGCCTGGATCTGGAAAGACCCAGTGGGCACTGAAATACGCAAAAGAAAACCCTGAGAAAAGATACAATGTTCTGGGAGCTGAAACTGTGCTCAGTCAAATGAGGGTGAGCTGGGGGAGGTTAGTCAGCTGTGGTGTTTGCTCTGAAGGTACCAAGAAATGCCTGTAACCTTTTCCTGTTGGAGTTAGTCTTTCAAGTGTCTGAGAACAAGGGTCCCACAAGTAGAGAAATGAGTTCTTTTCAATATGTGTTTAGGATAGATTCTTTTTCCTTTGCTGTGTTGTCAAATTTCTGAAAGCTGATAAAATCTGGACTATATCCAGATGAAGACTGGAAATGACTCCTGCAGGAAAAGGGCCAACATTCACAGCACTGAGGAATAGGAATGAACTGACATGAACTGATTTAAAGAGGTGACATTTACCATTGACTCTTGGGCTTTAACTTACTGTATAACTTCTTGTGTTTCTGTTCACTTCCTCTCAAACTCACCAGATGAAGGGGCTCGAGGAGCCAGAGATGGACCCCAAAAGCCGAGACCTTTTAGTTCAGCAAGCCTCCCAGTGCCTTAGTAAGCTGGTCCAGATTGCTTCCCGGACAAAGCGGAACTTCATTCTTGATCAGGTATTGTTCAAACGTTGAAAAGAAATCTAATTTTACAGAACGGTCCAAAGATGAAAAATTTGGTATCCACTTAATGTGATAAAATTGCTTAGAGTCCAAGTGGGGTGCATATGTAGAGAGAGACTGAATCAGAGCAGAATCAGGTTACCTAATAAGACCTAGTGGTTGTGTGTTAGAGTTGTAATGATTTTTGAACTCAAAAGGCTACCTCTTATTACTGTTTTTACTAACAGTATGTGGACTCAGACTATAAAACACGTAATGGAGGCAATGGAAAGAGCGTTGGAGCTTGTTTGGATTCCTGGCTCCACCACCACTAGGTTTGTGAGCTTGGACAAGTCTTGGCCTCTCTGAGTCTCCATTTCCCTCACGTGCAAAACAGGATAATATCTGTCATGTACAGTTTGAAGAATTAAAGAAGATTGTGTGTATAAGACCCCAAATCTGGTGCCTCACTTGTAAAAGATACTCAGTAAGTGTTTTGGTTGAATTTGAGTGATAATTTTTATTCCTAAAACATCTCTTACTCCTCCTATCCCAGTGTAATGTGTACAACTCTGGCCAACGGCGGAAGCTATTGCTGTTCAAGACTTTCTCTCGGAAAGTGGTGGTGGTTGTCCCTAATGAGGAAGATTGGAAGAAGAGGTTGGAGTTGAGGAAGGAAGTAGAGGGAGATGATGTGCCTGAGTCTATAATGCTGGAGATGAAAGGTGGGCTAAAATTATACAAGTTAGGGATCCTGTCCTTGGTCATTGCACACCATACTAGGGCCTCTTAGCACCTGAGTGATTCTCCACATCTGAGGTGTAAATCTGAAGAGTAAATTAACGGGTGTGAGCACTTGTAGATAAATGAATGAGCAGAGTGAATGGAGAAGCAGTAACCCTTTGGCTTATTCTGGCTAAGATACAAAAAGAGAAATAGTAGTCGGCCACAGGATAATTATAACTCAAGGCGGAGGCTTCATTGAGTCAGTTTTTCATTTAGTAAATGCTTAATGTCTGCTCTCTGTCCAGTACTGTTCTAGACGTGGAGAAGTAGCGAATGAAAAAAATGCTCTGCCTTCATTGAATTTATACTCTAGAGGGAGGAGGTTATTATGGTTCAGATTAAAATACGGTGCTTGGCGTGAATGATTTCATCAGTATATCTTGATTTCTAGTATTAAAATAGCTTGTTTTTTGTTTCTTTATTTGTTTTGGGTTTTGGTATGTGCCTGAAATCTTTATTGCAATACAAAGCTTTAGAGCAAGGTCCCTGTAAGGCAGAAGTAACTGTCTTAATTGATCTGCTTCCCGCTCCCTTCAGAGTGTGCTTTTTCCCCTTGCTACCTTCCGCTCCTGGCATCCCACCTGTCTTATCAGCTACTTCGAATTCTGGTAATGCCCAGGCTCAGGAGCTGCTTACACATCTAAGAGCCGGATTCTCTTGAGTTTACTCAGCGTGAACTATGCCAGTCCATAACTGATATTCAGGCACTTGGAAGAATTTAGTTCAGTTTTATAAAAGTGAGGGCTAAATGGATTCATCGAAGAATCAAGAGAGCCCTCATTGAACTGAATTCCCCTGGGACTCAGCCTCTGAACTTGATGTCTGGAGACTGGTGAATTTGCTAGCCCATCATGCGCAGGTGCTGAATGATGGGCTAGTGTCCTGTCCTCCTTGTATAGAGGAGTAAGTGCCCTTAGGCTTGGGTCAGTTGCTCATTAAGTCTCTTTTAAGAGTGGATTTCTTAGCATCTTATCTAACCAACACCAAAACTTTCTCAGTTACTTTTAGCCTCCGGCTGCCTGCTTCTGCCGTGATAAGAAACCTTAACCCAGGGCCGGCCCCGTGGCTTAGTAGTTAAGTGCGCGCGCTCCGCTACTGGCGGCCCGGGTTTGGATCCCGGGCGCGCACCAACGCACCGCTTCTCCGGCTGTGCTGAGGCCGAGTCCCACATACAGCAACTAGAAGGATGTGCAACTATGACATACAACTATCTACTGGGGCTTTGGGGGAAAAAAAAAAAGGAGGAGGATTGCCAATAGATGTTAGCTCAGAGCCGGTCTTCCTCAGCAAAAAGAGGAGGATTGGCATCGGATGTTAGCTAAGGGCTGATCTTCCCCAAAAAAAAAAAAAAAAGAAAGAAACCTTAACCCAGGTCACTCTTAATTTATTATGGATCACTTGAGAGCTTGTAAATCTACAGTTTGCAGAGAGCCCTTTGTCTGGGGCTGTTAAAATTTAGGGAAAACTTATGGTAGAGAAAGTGACTTGTTTCTTTAAATGTGAGTGGGTATGAGCCCAGCACTTTTTTGTGCGTTAGAAGATGAGGCTTAGGAAACCTTATTCTTCCTGTAGTGGAATTTTCATGATGAGATCTTACCCATCTGTACACTCTTCAGGCCCTCAAGTGTCTCTCTTACTCTTACAGCCAACTTTTCTCTGCCTGAGAAATGCGACTATATGGATGAGGTGACATACGGGGAGCTGGAGAAGGAGGAAGCTCAGCCCATTGTCACTAAGTACAAGGAGGAGGCCAGGAAACTGCTGCCCCCCTCCGAGAAGCGGACAAACCGCCGAAACAATCGAAACAAGCGTAACCGGCAGAACCGAAGCCGAGGCCAAGGCTATGGTGAGTCCTGGGGACCCGCCAGCCCCCAGCCTCAGTCTGTTCTTTGTGCTGAATACAGCAGGATCCACGAGGAAACCAAGTCAGGTCACTAACAATAAGGAAATACCTTCTCTATGGAGCTTATTTCTTCCTGGATCTTTTACCCCCAGCTTCTTGTGCCTTTTCCATAATCCTTCAACAAAAGGTAGTTAACTTTGAACAAAAATATTGTTGCCATGAAAAGCAATGCTTGAGCCTTCTCATTTGTCTAGTTTTCATTTTTACATATGGATTCCCCACTTCCCTATTGTAGTATATCTGAAGGATTTCTGTGGTGAAATCAGATTCTCATTTTAAGTTTTTTTGCTGCTTTGTTGGATCAGCCCAACTGTACAAACCAGAAAGTGAATGCATTATTCAGTAATTTTTGAGTTATAAAGTAAGTTAGGCAATTAGTGGAATTAGTTTCCTTCCTGCAAGTCTGATTTGTCAGTTGCCCCTCAGTGTGCGTTAATTGCCCTTTACAAATGTCTGTGTGTGTTGTTGTCAAAATGTTGCGTGCCTGCTATGTGTTAGACACGAATACCAACGGTTCCTGCCCTGGAGAAGCTTATTATTTAGACTTGGTCTCATTTGTATAAAATGATGGGGCTGGGTTATATGATATCTGAGATCCCTTCCAGGGCTGAAAGTCTGTGATTCTATGAATGGCAGTTTTTACTCATGTTTCCAACTCTGCCATGTATCCCTTTGCCATCTTAAATGTTTTGCAGGAATTGGGGAGCTTCAAAAGCAAGGTGGCTTGGTTTTCTTGTGTTTCTATTCCTCTGCCCTCCCCCCTCAGACTTTTTAAAAGATCCTGGCTGGTGCTTTAATTAACATTGTGTGAGCCTGACAGAAGCAGGCTTCCTATTCCCCCAGAATTGCCTTTGGCTCCAACTTTTTGATTTCCACTCAGACGTGGAGCCAGGACCCCACGCCAGCTGTCTGAGCGCGCTCTCCATTTCTCTTCCAGTGGGCGGGCAGCGCCGAGGCTACGACAACCGGGCCTACGGGCAGCAGTACTGGGGGCAGTCTGGAAACAGAGGGGTGAGTGCAGCTCTCCTTCTGCTCCTCCCTCTGGGCCGTGATAGCCATTCCTATTGGCTTGGGGGAGCAGAGTGGTTTGGGCTGTTTTCTCAGGGCTTAGGGTTTCCCACATTTAATGTGTTCCTCTGGAAGATTAAGCCTGTTCATAATATCAAGCTAAGATCTGTCTCATTTAAGACGGGGGATAGCAGTGGATCATGATGCTGAAAACCCATATATCTTCACTCTTTCTCTTTCTCCTTTCCCAGGGTTACCGTAATTTCTACGATCGATACAGGGGAGACTACGATCGATTCTACGGGCGAGATTATGAGTACAACAGATACAGAGACTATTACAGACAATACAATCGGGATGTAAGTATCTTCTGGGGCTAGAGAGAGGGTGAATGGGGACAGGACCAGAGGAATGAGTGTCATGCCTCTCCGTCCTCAGCCAGCTGTGGCTCTAAGTGATGGGGTTTCCCCTCTCTTCTAGTGGCAGAATTACTACTACCACCACCCCCAGGACAGAGACCGATACTACAGGAACTACTACGGTTACCAAGGGTATCGGTGAAGCCCCTGCCATTGTCGCCTGTCAGCCATGAAGCTGAATCTCTGGGGGTGCCAGGCACCCCCCAAAACACAACCAAGGAAAACAGGGGCTGTCGGGGTGGGGCTGAGCTGCCGGGGAGGGGC